TAATTGTTCTACCCCAATATTTATAACTTTTGCCATTTTGCCAATGGCGGAGTCTTTTCTTGGCTACCACTCTTTGGTTGTTGAATTGTTTAAAAAATGCAACAGGGTGATCTCCTTGGTCTCTTACTGCAGTGCTTCTCAAAGTGGCGCCGGTCCGCGGACCAATAGCTGCCGGTCTGCGGCGAGGTTCCAAAAATTTTGAAAATTAATCAGAAAATTCATAGCTTGGACAGCAACGCAATTGCGAAAGTCATTGTTGTTACTAGTAGATGAGTTTAAAGGTAAGCAAGTTCACGAATGCATATGCATGACTATAATTAATATTCAATGTGATAACGCGAAAGGACGCGTGACCAATTAACTATCGGATCCAGCTTAAATATTCAATCTTTCTTTATCAGCTATTTGCACATGTTCAGAGTAAAATTGATAAAAACCCGGTAAAACTAGGAGTTAACAACGTTATTGCTAAATTAAAATATATTTGTAATTTTTAAATTTATATATAAATTGAATAACTCATTTTGCAATTTATTAAATTTTATTCAAATTAATATATAAAGTTGCTAGAACTGTTGTCAGGTTGGTTCAGATTTTTTTTAATATTTTCATTTTATTTTGATGTTATCAAGACCGCTAATTTGTTTTCTTGAAAGTAAAAGTTTATTTTATTCAAAAATAACTACTTTAGGCATGGCGAAACAAGGCCCGATAGACAAATTTTTGAAAAGGAAACGTCAGGAAGAGAATTTGATATATGAAAGTAGTGACGATTCTTCAGTTTCAGACAATGAAAATGGCATCGTAAAGGCAATTGGTATTGAAACGTGTGCAACAAAACGTATTAGAACTAGCTTCATTCGAAAGTACGATGAATCATACATTCAATTTGGCTTCATGCCAATGGACGATGGAACAGAGTTGGAGCGAGGTTTTGTCGAACGAAGCAATGAAGCCATCAAAACTAAAAAGACATTTAAATACCAAACACAAAGACATTTGCACAAAACCAAAAGAATATTTTGAGAGAAAACGCATTGATCTGAAGAGTCGCCAAAAACAAATGTTTCGTATTTCCCATATAAACACGTGTGCGCTACGAGCTTCATATAAAGTAGCTCTGCGAATTGCCAAAGCGAAAAAGGCATTCACAATTGGTGAAACGTTAATAAAAGATTGCATCAAAGATGTCTGTTTTGAGATGCTGGATGAGCAGGCTTCAAAAAAAATAGACCAGGTGCCACTTTCAAACAGTACTATCGGTCGACGCATTAGCGATATGGCAGAAGACATTGAAGAGCAGCTAGTTGAACAAATGAAACTTGCAAAGTATTATTCTTTGCAGCTGGATGAAAGCACAGATGTGGCCAATATGGCTATTTTGTTAGTTTATGTTCGTTTTGAATACGAAGGAGATTTAAAGGAGGAATTTTTCTTTTCAGCATCACTCCCAACAAATACAACAAGTTCTGAAGTATTCAAAACTGTCAGTGAATATATCATTGGTAAAGGAATAGATTTCAAATATTGTGTTGGTGTCTGTTCAGATGGTGCTGCAGCAATGACTGGACGTTATTCTGGTGTTGTAACTAAAATTAAAGCAATAGCACCGGAGTGTAAAGAGTGTAAGAGTGTAAAGTAACACATTGTTGCATTCACCGAGAAAGTTTAGCAGTGAAGAAAATGTCAGATGAACTGAATAATGTGCTCAGCGAAGTAGTCAAAATAGTAAATTATGTGAAAGCAAATGCACTAAATTCAAGACTTTTTGCCAGATTATGTGAAGAAATGGGGGCTGATCATAAACATCTATTGCTACCAACTGAAGTGCGTTGGCTATCCAGAGGAAAGGTTCTCTCAAGAGTATTTGAATTAAAAAATGAACTAGCAGAGTTTCTGCAGGTTAAAAAGCCCATCTGGTCAGAATTACTTATGAATATCAATTTGCTCGCAAAATTGGCTTATTTGTCAGACATATTTGCATTATTAAATGATCTCAATATTTCAATCCAAGGGAAAATGGCGACTGTTTTCACGATGGCTGATAAAATTGAAGGACAAAAAAGAAAGCTAAAATCTTGGATAAAAAGATTGGAAAAAGAATGTTTCGAAATGTTTTTTAATTTAGCTACAGTCATTGATGAAGCAGGCAAAGGATTTGACACCAAAAGTTTGATAACCTTAATCATTGAGCATCTGTCCAGCTGATCTGAACGGTTTGAATTTTATTTTCTTACGGAGGATGACCCACGAATAGGAAAGACATGGATCAGAAATCCTTTTGTTGAACATAAGGAAAATTTGACTGTTAAGTTGGAAGATAAAATTTTGGAGCTTGCTGCTGACCAAGTTTGAAAATACATTATCTCTTTCCGCTTTCTGGATCAGCATCAAGTCGGAATACCCAGAGCTCACTGACGAAGCAATAAAAACCCTTCTTCCTTTCCCTTCTACTTATTTATGCGAAGTTGGATTTTCATGTTTGACTGCAATGAAAACAAAATACAGAAACTGTTTGGAAGTTTGTTCTCCGCTACGTGTGGCATTGTCTTCGTTTCAGCAACGTCTTGAGGAATTAATAAATAGAAAACAAGCTCATTCATTTCACTAATTTTTTACAACAATTTTTATTTTCTAATGTCAAAATATTTTTTATTGTTATTTCATTTTGAATAAAATTATACAAAAAAAGATTCAAATTTTGTAAAATTGATAACACTTCGCATATATATATATATATATATATATATATATATATATATATATATATATATATATATATATATATATATATATATATATATATATATATATATATATATATATATATATATATATATATATATATATATATATATATATATATATATATATATATCTCTATATCTATATCTAAATATATCGA